CTCCAGCTCCTGCCACGGGGCTCTAGTCCCATTCAACTGGGAGCAGCTGCAGGGCCTGAACCACAGGGCTCCAAACCCAGCCGTCCCATTCAACTGGGAGCAGCTGCAGGGCCCTTTCCTGGCCCTTTGCAGCCTAGGGAAACCACAGGGCTCCAAACCTAGCCCTACATAGCTCCAGCCCTGGCCCCATGCAGCCTGGGGAAGCCGTAGGGCTCTGGCCCCACATTCCTGGGGGTTGCCACAGGGACTCTGACCCTACACTGCCCCAGGGCTCCTGCCTCAGCCCCACACTCCCAGGGGCTATTGAAGGCTGCTACAGGGCTCCAGCCACATCCCGTGCTGCCCCCAGCCAGGCTACTGACCTTGATAGCCCGGAGCCTAAAGGTAGAATCTCTGATCCAGGAGCATCCATGGTCCTGTTGGACCAGGGATGTTGCTGGACCAGAGAGTGCCGGATTCTGGAGGTACAATCTGTATGTGGCTTGAATCACCTGCCAATCTTGCAGGTTTTCTTCTAAAGGCACCTCAGGCACAAGTCATACAGGTCACGGTTTGGCATGGATTTCTTGCAAACAGTGCAGGATTTAAACCCCGGGGCTTTCAGCATGCCCCAGCATTTGTGGAAGAGCAACAGATGTGGGCGGGCCTGCCCACTCCAACTACTGCTTTACAGCTGAAAGAACGAAGATTGGAAGATAAGCAAATGAAGAATTAGCTAGGGCCTACAGGCTAGCTGACACAAGACAGAAGGACAAATTCCAGCGCCACTTTGGACAGTAAGAAGGAATTGAAGGGTGGGGAGGCTCAGGTCAGCAGTGGTTTACAAGAGCAGCTTGGCACCATTCCAGGGGGCTCCACAGCCAACCCAAAGGGAGCTGTTGGGAAAAAGTTTCAGATGTTCGTGCACGCAGCGTCTGCGCACACCTGATTGGAAGAGATGTGAACAAGCACTCAAGGAAGAGCTGACAGGCCAGACAATTCTATGTATTCCTGACTGGTGACTTTCCTCTTTGCCCAGGTACCTCTGCTGGTCCTAGATTTATTAGTGTCTCAAATTGAAGGGATTTGGCACCCTCTGACCACGTTCCTCCTCTGGCCAACCCACCCAATTCCCTAACCCTGCAGTTTTTCTTCTCCAAAAGCTTGCCCCTCTTCCTGCTCAACCATGGGCATCATTTCACTCTTAGCTGTGGCTCTGGTTGGTGCTTCAGTGGAGGTATTGTACAGCCAGTGCAAAGACTTGGGGATCTAGAGATCCTGTGGAGGCCCAGGTCAGATCAAGGACCTCTTTCAGAAAGAATCTAGGTAGGCAAGTGTTGGAAGCAGTTTAGCAAGGCACTAGGGATAGACTGATTCTTTGGGGAGCCATTGGTGGTCATCTGCTGTCCTTGAGGCTATCCCAGCCTAAGAGACAGAACCAGGAAGAAGGATCCGGTAGAGAAATCTGAATCACCTCTTATCCTGCCTTCCTAATGCGGTAGACAGTGCCATCCTTGGGGCAGCCTGTGTTGGCTGTCCAGGACTCAAGCCCCCAACCCTGTGCTCCCCAGGCAAATGCCATATCCCCGTGTCCACTCAAGGACCCCTACCACCTCCCTCCCTTTGGCTGTGCCAGGAAAATGGGTTTGCCTAGAATGGGCTTGCCTCTCATAAAACCAAACAGAAAAGACAGACTCACCAGGCAAATGAAAGGGGCTGTCTGAGGGCACTCCTATCTGAAACTTCCTCAGTTCTGTGCCTTTCTAGGCACCCTTTGGTGTGAGGGATGTAAATCTCCTTTCCTCTCTCCCCAAATTCATATGGGAGCATTGCTGAGAAAGGGTTTCCAAAGTGAGGGTGGGGAAAGTTGGTCATCGTGGTTTCCTCTGGGTAGGAGGTGGGAGCAGAGCAATAAGCTCAAATATCTGGCACATTCAATTAACCGGCAACCCCCATTCTCCATGAGTGCCCAAGAACAAAGCCTTCACTATACTGACAGAATTGGAAAGGGTGGGAATAAGGGTGCTGTAGAGCAGGACTCACCACTGGGCACACTCCCTGGTGGCTGGTTGTGGTATAGCACTTGCGGCTTCCTGCCAAAGAACCCTGTAATAAGCAGAACTAAGTCTGTTTAATAACCTCCCTGCTGCTCCCTCAAATGTCTTCCTACCTCAGCCAGTACGCTACCCCTTCCCCCAGAGCACCTTCCTAGGCTCATCAAAGACCTAAATTTCCTTCCGAAGTGCCAGAGGTCTCAGGTTTCACCCTTCCTGTAGTGCCTGGCTTGCAGGATTCCCCCTGGAATTTTCCAAATCCCCAAAGAAAAGTTCAGACCAACTTTTGTCATTTGTGGCTTTGAATTGGAGTTTTTTCACAAGCCTTCAGCAGCACATCAGGGCTGACTCCCTGGAGCTTTGTCCCTAGTTTGAGACCCATCACAAGAACTATCCCCTGCTTTTCCTTATTCTCCTTTCTGACACTGGTCAGCCCATTTTCTGACAGCAGTGTCTCCTCCAGCTGAGTCTTCTCTAGCCTTTTGAGGAAACATGACTCATTTCCAGGTGAAGGTGAACCTACTAATTCAACTACTTGACACCTCTCTAGTGCCAGCAGCTGCACTAATTGAGCTTTCAGACTCCTGCTAACCCTCTCAGTACCAGTGTGTGCCTTACACACTCTCAAGGGCCCTGACTCAAGGACCTGCTGTTTGAGCCAGATAATAGCAACCCTTTCTGTGCCTCTGTTCATCGCTATGTTACCAAGGCTGAGCTCCCTCTTAACTGAAGGGATTTACCCCTGCTGCTGCTTCCTGTTGTCCCCTGCTCGTAGATTGACTTACTTCGGGGGGGGGGGGGAGCTTTTCCCAGCCATAGCCAGTGCCAGCTCTCTCGGACAAATGTAGCACTGTTGGACACCAAGTACACCTACCTGGGTTGTTGTATGATGGCTATCATTTCACTGCCCATCTCCGCAGAAGTGATTTTGGGCCCTGTCACAGGACGGTCACTCACCACCACGGCACCTCCTGCTAGTAGCACTGGGAAATAGCTCATATCTGCTCACCAAACACCTCCTTCTGGCTGGTGTCTCCCTGTGTCTGTTCTGGACTCACATCGCTCCCAGACTGCGGCGTCCTCTTCAGGACACTGCCCTCCGGGAAGGGGGGGGTGGCGGGGGGGGCTGTTTATCAGTCTTTATACTCTGGGGTCCTTTCCTGTCAGGAAACCCCCAGTTTCCCTATATCCACCTTGCCTTAGTGACCCACTGCTAGTCTTCATCTACCACTGCCACAAGGGCAAACCACAGTCTGAAACGGCCACTGATTGGCAAGGGGATGGACCTGCTGCCTTTGCCTATCCTGGCCACCTCTCTGCAGCCCTAGCACTCTGAGGCCTTGCTTCAGGCCCTCAGCCTGGGATTGAGGCCAAGCCAGAGCTTCTCCAGCACTGCTCTGTCCTAGAAAGTCCCCAGCTTCCCTAGCAGCTAGGTCCCTCCTGTTCCCCAGGAAGAGTCATTCCCCTTGCCTTCCAGAGCCCTTATTTACACAGCCCACAGCTGGGTCCTAATGGGCACTATCAGGGCTGGGTTTTACTCTTAAAGGGCCAGCGCGGAGCAGACACCCCATCACAGGCCCAATAGGAACAAAAGCCCTCCTTAGACTTACTATTTTCAGTACAATATTGGCCAGCATCTTTATTCCTCCTGGAATCCTGGGCTAGACATGGAGGATAGATTTGAGAATCAGCCCTTTTCTCCAAGTTAATACATAAGGCAACACTTCTATCACAATCCTCACACACTCCCTTGGTTAGACGTGAGGGAGGGGACCTAGCCTCACAGTTGTACTTAGCATAGCAATTCATGCCTAAGTCATGGCACAAATTGCACAAATCCAGGCTTTGTTTTGGGTCTCATTTGTAGGAAGTCAGCAAGAGTGCCAAATGCCATTTTTAGACGAGGAAAGGCACAATTTGCACCAACTCAGTTTGCCCCACAGGTCAAGAAGGGATAAGTTAGATGAGTGCTATCTGCAGCAGTCCCTGGTTCTGCAGGGCTTTGAGCTGTTGCTGCCATACTTGTAGTTCGAGTCGGACTTCTGTATTGGAACTAGTTGAAAGTATAGACATGGCCCTAGACTTGGGTCAGATTCTGATTTGATGTAAGTGGGTGCACCTATTAAATCACCAGAAGAGGGGGGCACAAGCTCTCCTACATCTAAAATGGGTGCAGGTGAACTGGACCTCTTGGGATTTCAACCCATTTACATCAGGTCTGGATTTGGCCTGGCTCCCAATAGATCAGCAACTCAAAGGCAACTTCTGAAAATGCGCATAAAGTTGTTTTTGGAGCTATAAATGGTCATTAGAGACATTGAAAATAATGGTCAGCTGAAGACTTATTTCTTGGTTCATTCTGGATTAGTCTAATTGTCCATTCTTATTAGATATCGAAATGGTTAGACTCTTTCAGGTTATTTGGTGAGCTGCATACAAGACCTATAAAACAAACTATCATATTGTTGCTAAAAAAGAACAAACCTCATTGGATAGGGCTTTTGCTGCTTTATCCATCATCTTAAAGTAAGGTTGAAAGCTGCTGTTATGCTGCCACCTAGTGAGAAGGGTTGGAGATCGAATGTAATTAAAGCACACACTCAATTTTATTGAGTTAGGCTGGTTTCTATTGATCTCTTGAAGTTATTCTGCAGCTGAATTTGGCCCTCCACTTCTGTTCTGCTCACTGTTAGATAACTGAGATGTTCAACTCTGTAATGTATGTTGAGAGAGCCTTTTGCTGACAAAGAGTAGCAAAAAGCAATAGTTACAGGTCCAGGAAGACAGGAGCTGTTGGCCAAGCATTGAAATAAATTTGATTTTGTAATTTGATGTTCTGTCTTTGGCATTCATTTCTGCTGTATGCCCTCTGTTTACAGTGAATACTGTAATATTAGTTTTCATTTTAAATATATGACACTGTAAATTCACCCTTTATTTACAGATAACTCTCTTCACTGTTCTTAGGAGGAAAAAGAAGTGCATTCGGTACTTACAAGGAGAAGGACGCTGTTCCAGCCCAATTTCTTCCGATGGAAGTGCTATAGACTCCCCTCCCTCTCCTCTGGATTCACTCCAAAGTATATCTTCTGCTTTTACTTCAGACAAGCTTGCTACATCTGCTGATTTCACACACAAAGAACAAAGCAATCCTTTTCCCACCTCTATTCATGCTAAAAGTGCTCCATGCTCCTCTGGACTGACCACTCGGTGCTCATCCATGCCACATGTATCCGTAGCATCCAGCAACTCCTCAGAGTACAGTGTGCCATCAACAGGAACATAATGCCACACTGTACAAGTCAACACTTACCAATGCATTGGACACTTTGCTTTTACCAAGTGGTTTTGCTGCCCATTGAAATAGACTGGAGGCCCATCCAAACTACCCACCCTGCTGTAAAACTATATTCAAAGTCATGGGGCAGCTGTGTCCTGATCCCCAAAATGATTCGAAGATGCTGGAATTGTCAACTTTTTTATCTGGAGCAAAGATAGAAAAACGGTGTCTCCCTCCATAGAAATGCTGAAAGGAGAACTCACCAAAACTAAAAATGCCACTCAGTAAATGAATCTTTCATCCCCATCCTGAGCTTCCTTTTATTGCATCACCTGTGCAAGTAGCTGAAAGTGAAAGATAACTCCCTGGCTTGTTGCAGTAGATGGTAGATGCTATAAATCTTAAGCATTGGTTTCTGTTTCTTGCATCCCAAACAGCTTTGAATTGTAGTTAGTCACAGCTCTCTTGTAGCTATTTCACCATGGAATTAGGAAAGCTGGTACAGGATCATTTTTTTTAAAAAGCCCATCTGTCTGAGAGCTAAATCTCAGGCAGCTAGATTTCACACTGCTGGCTTAGAAGAAAAATGAAATATAGGCAAAGGTAGTGAATATTATTAAACTTCAAGGACAGGAAAATACTGTTTACAAGTAACAGGTCTTTCCAGACCTGTCAAGTTTCCTTGGTGTACAGAATGTCAGACAAAAGATGAGAGTGCTCACAAGACAGAAAAGGAAGTTTGGACTGGCTGCTTGAAGGTCTATCTAGTCAATGTTTCATTGTTATAGAGCCAAAATAATATAGTAACATCAAATCAGGTGCGGAGTCCTCCTTGCTGCTCAGGTTGCTCACTGTAAACACTGGAGTGTCTGACTCCTTCACGAAAGGACCTTGCAAAGGCTCAAAATTAGACCTCCTGTGCTATTAAGCCAGTACTTTTACAAGTCTTTGCACAATCTGTGCAACAGAGTCTGTGAGCTTAATCAGCCCACTTGTTAAGTAGAGGCTGTATGTAAGGGCAAATCATGGCCTGCTGCATGGAGCTGATGTAACTTGCAAGCCCCAGTGCACTCCCTCCCTTACTCACACACCTGGGCTATGTCTACACTTGCGGCTTCCTGCGTGAGAAATATGCAACTGAAGCTAAGCGTGGAATAGTGCCAAGTGTCATTTGCATACCTAATGAGCCACCATTTTGCAGAAGAGGCTCTTGCACCAGAAGGAGCTGTCTACACTGCCCCTTCTTACGCAAGAAAAACCCTCTTGCACAATGCCGTTATGCTGATTATTTTCAGGAATAATGGGGAATAAGCCTTCTTGCGCAAGAGCTCTTCTACAAGAAGGCAGTGTGGACAGGCAACAGGGGTTTCTTGTGCAAGAAAGCCCTATGGCTAAAATGGCCATCACAGCTTTCTTGCACAAGAGCATGTCCACACTGCCATGGGCGCTCTTGTGCAAAAGCGCATCTCTTGCACAAAAGCACATGGCAATGTGGATGCGTTCTTGCGCAAGAGTTTTTGCACAAGAACTCTTGCACAAAACAGTTCTTGCACAAGAATCCTGCAAATTATTTCCTCTCCACTCCCATTTTTATCTAATAGTGTCAAATATTAATACAGTTTCTCCATCTTCAAACTTATCTACCAAGTTCTGATATTTTATTTATATTTTAAGACAGGTAAACAAAAACTTCAGGGGCCAGATTCTGATCTCAATTCCACTGATGTAAATCCAGAGTTACTCCACCAATCTATAGAGCCCTGCAAATCTGTGGATACCTGTGGCTCATTTTTGCAGATGCGGATGCGGATACAGATAAAAATTTTGTATCCGTACAGGGCTCTACCATCTAGCCTTACTCTAGCTTTACACTACTGTAACTAAGATCAGACGCCAGAAACTTATGGGTGTTTTCCTGCTTTACAAAAACATTCTGGACTGAAAAGTAAATTACCATCAACCATTGGGGGGCGCAGAGTCCTATTAAACTAACAAAGTATTATATAGGCTTGCAAGAAATGTAAAAGGACCTCTATAATGTACAAAATATTTTTGTATTTTTTTTTAAGGCAATTTTTTACATTAGAATAAACATACTTTTTAATAGGTTTCTATATCCGAGATTGAAGATTAGAAAGCTGCTTATACAATAAAGCACTATAGTTATTGGGTCTCCCCTACTCCATTTAGTTCCTTTTGCTTCAAGTTCCTTAGATTTTTTCTGAAAAAAAAATTGCAAGAAAATCTAAAGCTACTGCTTTATTAGTCTCACCTGTCTATGCAATGTAACCTGCACTAGCACTAATGGAAGTTACAAGCATAAATCCAAAAGAGCCTATTCAACCCTTAGACCACTGGCATTGTCTGACCTGACCCACATGTCTATGTAAAAGCATGTGCTGACAGTCACCACAGGGTTAGTTATGTAGCACTGGATCAATAGTTGAATGATTTCAAACTTGGAAGACAGCATAGACAAGTGGATAAAGTTGAAGCAGGTGATTATAGCTGCAGTTTTGCCAAGGACTCTGTGAGCCTAGAAAAGTGTCTTCACTCTGTGCCTCCATTTCCCCATTTATAAAATGAGAATGCTCATCTTTTTTTCCAAGTAGATTCTCAGCTGTAAGGTGCTGTAGATGTGACTAATACTATTAAAACCACACGCTCGTGTTCAGCTGTAGTGTGGGTTAGTGGTTGGGTATGTTAGTCAAAAAACTGGGTGTGACAAATGAAACTTGCACCTACCTGATAGGTTATGGTTGTGCAAAACAAATGTAACCTGCTCCCTCAGTAGACCTCACAGGAGGGTGCAAATGCATGGACAGATTGGGCTAGCCAAAGCCACAGGATGCTAGGGGGGAAATCCTGCAGTATGTCAACAGCACCTCTTGATCAAGTGCCAAACACAATTCTGAAGTAAACAGGCACCACTACCATTGATTTCAGCATTCAGTAGGAGTTGCACCCACTTAGCATTAAACTAACTGGGATCCCAAATGTGCACAGTAGTGTCTGACATGGTCTAGGGCTGCACTGAATTGGGAAGGGCTATCTAATATCACATTCTACTCTTAGTTGCTGTTCATGGCCCACTACTGCAGGAGCTGCTCACTGGTACACTATAGCCATGTGCCCTTTCTGTGCTACAGCTTTTCCATCCAAAATGGACAAGTGATATTTGCATACCAACAGAACCAGGATGATTACATCCCTTTGCAATCTACACCTAGGTTCTGACTGATTGATGTCCACTATCACTAAATGTGACCATTAACCTCTAGCCTTGTTCTAACTTTATGCACCAAAAAAAAAAAGCCTTACTGGAGTTGTACAAGTTTAGCTATAGGACCCCCATCCTCTGCTCTCAGATATCAGTATAAATTCAGTAAGTCCTCTGGCTATAGGGCTGTGACTCCAGTTTATACCAGTGTGCATAACACAGGAAAATTTGATTTTTTTTTTTGAAACATGCAAAAAAAGAGACCTTTAAGCTGCCCGTTCAAAGGGAAAATGTTGAGTAAATGTTATCACCTTTTATAAACATGTGATTGATAGAAGTGTTGTAACAGAAGCCAAAACAGAGAACCTAATTTTTTAAAATACCAAAAAGTCTTTAGAAGTATAGGAAGTTTTACTCTTTTTAAAAAAAAAAAAGGAATATTTGCCCATGAATTTTTACTGCAGCAAGTTTTAATTTTCATGTAGCAATTTCAGTTTGTTGCCCATTTGATTTGTTTGAATGTAGAAGTCACAGAAATACCACTTCATTAAGTCAAGTAAAACCACTGTATGTATGTAGCACAGATAAGTGTTTCGCAACTGTACTTTCATTTGTCCAATAGCTGTCCATCATATACTGTAATTTTTTTTTACTTCACTGGGTTTGTATTTTTTGGCTTTTATGTTCAAAATATGTTTATAGCTTTATAAATAAAGAACTGTGCCAGCCTGGCCATACACAAAAGGGGCCACTGCAGGTTATAAACCTCTAAACTTCTCTCAAACTCCCTTTTCTTACTATTTTAAAAGAAAATTCCTGTTTCTTCTCTACTCATAGAAGGGCTTTTGCACTAACTGTAACCAACAGTCACTATATGAATGAGATGAATGCTAGCAGCTGAAACAGTCACTCTTTTCCATGAATGAGGGCCTCATTCAGTCACCCTTTCCTCTGGCTCCACCAATAAGGGCTGTATCTGTAATTAAACATGTCAAGTGGTGTGGGAAAGAACTAAACAAATGGTCACGGGCACAGGTTGCCTTTAAAGAATGAGGGGGGAGGGAGAGATGCAGCTTCATTTCTTTTTAACTATTTTGAAATGAACGTAGTGCTGGTAAAAGATGCCCTCTTAATGCACATCACTTGTAGAATACAGAGGACAGTAGCCCAGGCTAATATACAAATTAGACCATAAGAATGACCATACTAGGTTGGACTAAAGGTCCAACCAACACACCAACCTGTCTTCTGCCAGCAGCTAATGCCAGGTGCCCCAGAGTGAATGAACAGAACATGTTATCAAGTGATCCCACCTCTGTCACCCATTCCCAGCCTCTGACAAACAGAGGCTAGGCTCACTGTTCCTACACATCACGGCTAATAATCATTGATAGATCTATCCTCCATGAATGTATCCCATTCTTTTTTGACCCTGCTAAAATCCTGATCTTCACAACATCCTCTATCCTGTAGTTCCACAAGCTGACAGTTGCATGAAGAAATTATTTCCTTTTGTTTGTTTTAAACCTGCCTATTAAAATATTTCAACCTAGAATGTGGGGGGGTTCCTCAAACTCAATTTATCTTGGGGTCAATGCTCTCACATCCTCCTACTGGGCCAGTAGGCACTCCCCTCTGGTAGGGGTTGGGGGGCAGGGGAAGGTCTTCATGCACCCTCTCCTCCCCCCCCCCGCCCACACACATCTCCCAGTAAATACAGAGCCCTATCTCAACTTGTGCTCCCAGTGGAAAGAAAGGGATCTTTTCTCCAGCTCATCCAAAGAACTCACTAAGATACATCGCAAGTGTCAGTTAAGCAGTAGATTATGGCCCCAACTAAATCATACTGAGTTGCTCCTCAATCTGGCATAATAAGCTATTTTAATGGGGCACTCCCATACACCTGTAGTTTTCAGGGTGAGTGGAAGCAGCACTATTAAGCATGCTTCATACTTTAGTCTCTAACTTGGACTGTTCTACAAACAGCAGTTCTCACATTTCTTCTCCCTTTGTACACACCCCAGAGCCATAAGGACAAATTTTTGCCTCGTCTAATCTTCTCCCCAGCAGGGTAGTCCTTAGCACAGCAGTGTCTAGTGACTGTCAAAATCAAGGGCAGCTTGAAATCTCTTTAAGCAGCAAGTGGTATTTTAAGAGGGTATGATCTGCCTTAGAGAAAACACCACTTTTCTCAAAGTTTGGCATTGGTAGTAGTCAGCAGGGGTGATCCACATCTACTTATAACTTGGGAGATTCTTTGGTAATGGCAACAAAAGCAGTCTTGAATGCGTGGAACAGCTTGGGTAATACCATTATTTGGATTAGAAATAATGATGCACTTGTCTCAGCAGGTACTGACGTTATCACAGCCTTAGAGCACCATGCCATGACAGCAGGTACTGACGTTATCACAGCCTTGGAGCACTATGCTATGATTTTTTTTTTAAACCACACACAATTGAGACTAGTTTGACCATCAGAACAGCACAACTCTAAGGGTATATCTACTTTGTGCACTTTTGCACAGGAAGATATGCAAATGAGGCATGGCAATGAATATCACCATGCCTCATTTGCGTACCAAATGAGCGGCCATTTTATGCAAGGAGCTTTTGCACAAGAAAGAACAGTCTACATTACTTTCTTCTGCAAAAAACCCCTCTTGCACAAGAGCTGTTCTGCCTGAAAATAAGCGGCAGAATGGCTCTTGCACAAGAGGGGGGGGTTTGCACAATAAAGAGCACTGTAGACTGCTCCTTCTTGTGCAAAAATGGGAGCACCAATATTCATTACTGTGCCTTATTTGCATATCTAAGTGGCATTTGAGACCATTTGTTATGCTGAAGTGATAAGAATCCTGCATCTGTAAGCAAACCTAAATTAGCATTAAAATTGAGACAGGACAATGAAGGAAAATTTTGAATGTTCAAACCATCCAGTAAGATCAGCAATTCTCAAATCAGAGATCTTTACTCAGGTACATTACACAGAGTTAGGACAAATATATATTATTAATCTATCCTTCCCCACTCACTTCCCATTCTACCATATGACATTACACTTCTGCCTCCTCCCCATCCTAAATCCTGCCACATTTGTCACCTTATGCTCAGCTGAGTTGCATGTAGGTTTGCCTCTTGTCAAAAGGCTGTGTTAGAAGATAAGGGGAAGGAACATTTAATGAGAGGCAAGATGAACTGCCCTTCATGTGTAAGACCAAGGTTTCTCTTCCACCCACCAAAAAAAATATTTTTGAAGTACGGTATAATCCCATCACTAAGGGGTGGCCGACTGAAAACAAATTCATCTGGAGATGTGTGTTAAGGAAGGCGTTAAACATAAGAGGACCCATCACCTCGATATTCATTTTCATAATCCAGACTAACCATAGTGATCTCATTTTCTTTCCTAAGAATTGTACTGTTTCCTACAGAAGCTTTTTAGTGTTAACATTTGTAAGACTACTTGCACAGAAGTAGCCCCATGTGTCACCAAGAGCATTTACTTTTGATAGCATTACGATGTTCCAACAAGGCAGGACCCATTCTCCAGTAGTCCCTCTGGAGATGCTTTGGCTTGCTAGAGCAAGGTCGGCAACCTTTTCACACCAAAGAGCCAGACTACAGGCAGCCCCCTAACTTTGACACAATCAGTTCCTAGGGAAACCACATTTATGATGGGTGCCGTGGTAAATGCGGACTAAGGACATAAGTCGGGGGGGTTCCAAAAAACCCCAGACCCTCATTGATGCTGTCCCCAACTGAAACCTCTCACTCCCTTGGTGCTTCAACCCTATGGTGGGGGGGAAGGGGGGAGGGAGGACTGAGGTTCAAGGCCTCAGGTGAGATTTACTCTTCTGCAGTTTCAGAGTTGGTGGATTTTGTGTCCCTTCCCAGGCTCTGGGGTGGGGCAAAAATGAGGGGTTAAGTGTGCAACACAGGGCTGCTAGTGAAGGGAGTGCAGGATCTCCCAAGCATTTGGGCAGGATGCAAGGCCTAGCCAGGGGCAAGAGCAAGGGGGAGGCAAACTGTCAGATCAAGGGACAGAGTGTGAGGCTGTGGTGAGTATGTGAGGGGATGGGGGTGCAAGATCTGGGCATGAGAGGTTGGAGGCAGAGGAAGAGAGAGCACTTTGTTTTCATGCTGCAGCCCAGGCACCATGTAACATGGCTTCCCACTGCTCCTATTCAGCAGTAGGGAGGCTCCAGGAAGTGTGTGCAGGGAAAGTTAAAGGGCAGCACCCAGAGCCATTCTTGGTTTTGCTTGTTTCCCCACACTCCAGGGAAAGGAAAAGGGCAGCACATGGAGCCAAAAATGACTGAGCTTATTCCCCATGTGCTGGATCCAGCAGGGAGGCTCAGGGCTTTCTCCCCCCCCCACGACAGGACACCCCCATGCTGGTGTTCCAATCTTGCAGGGAGCTGTAGCATGAGCACTGGCGCCCTGCTGCAGGGGAGGGGAAGGGAAGGGGAAAGCTGGAGCTCTACAAGAGCCCTATCTGGCTGCCTAAAGCATCTTATTTAGCTCATAAGCCACAGGTTGCAAACCCCTGTGCTAGAGGAAGCCAGTTAAGGTGGGGAGAGGGAGAAAGGGTCTTTTGGTCCTAGAGCAGTGGCTCTTCAACTTCTCACATTGTTGACCAACTCCCCATTATGTGTGTCTCAGTTCCATGGACTGTAGCTGGAGGGACTCTTAACTGCAAACTGTCAGATGTCAAAATTTTCTCAGATGTCGATTTTGTTTAGGCAGCAGCCCCTACAGAAGCTTACCAGCGATTTCAAGTTTTAGTTCTTTTGCAAGACATGCTATTCACTGAGTGTACTGGAGATGGTCAAGTTGCTTTTGTTAAATTAGGTTTTTCTAAATAAAAGTTCATTAATCTGTTAACACCACTCAGTGCAACACCATAATCTTTAAAATGAAGAGAAGCGTATTTATTAGGGTTAATTCTAGTCTAAGGTTTATACAGAAAATGGAATGCAGTAAGCTAAGATCACACCTCAAATGTTTACTACACAAACCACCCTCTACTCCCTATAAGGGAATTGTAAATGTCAGATAACCAGTTATTGTTTAACTAGTTGCAAGTGGCTTTGTCCAAGAGAAGTCACACTAGATACAGCATTAGATTTGTGTTGTGTATGAAATGAAGAGTCTTCAAGCTGTGATTTCATGTACAGTACATCACTGAAATATTTCTTGCAGATACATGAAACCATGTTTTAAAAAGCTACATCACAAGCAGATTTAGGATTGCCTAAAGCCAGCTATTAAAGGATGTGGTGGATCAATAAGTTTAACTTTGATAAACTCAGTAATGATTTGGGTCAAATTGGGATTTAATTTTTCCTACTTAAGTCCAAGGATCAGCACTCCTGTGCCTACCACAGTGCGCATCTTGCATTGCACCAGCAAGAGGCAGGCCTTAACATACATGATTGAAGAGTTCCAGGTTAACTGTCATTAGCTTGCCCAGTTTTCACCAAACCCACATTTGTGCCAGTGATAATCTTGTAAGGGGAAAACTGTTACAGGTTTGGAAAGTAGCAATACAAAATCTCATGAGTGGCTTCTAAAGTATTTGCCTGTGATCAATGAACTGTGTCAAGCACTAACTCACTCCAAGGGTCATTATTCTTCATGCTTAGAGGCAACTCAGCAATTCTCCACTCAGACTGGTTTCTTAAGAAACCCTTTAGTTCTTTGACTAAAAATATACTTTGTTAATTCTATTTCAGAAAATTTTTTGCAAGAGATTTAATTTATACTGATAGAGTTTTAAATGCTTATCTAAATTCTGACATCTCAAACTAACACTAACTGGACATGGACAGTTAGAGTAATGAGAAGGTTAGCCTGAAGTGCTACTTTCCATACAGAATCCACGCTTACTTCAGTTTTATTCATTGCAGATTAAAGTAAAAAGACATCTGATTACACTGGTAAAAACTCAACCATAAGATTTAAATCTGTACTCAAAAAACACTACACATGCAAAGGGAACAATATCCTGCTAATACAACTTCATTTGCTGCTGCATTTGTCTAATATTAACAATTATAAACAGAGCAGTGCAACTAGTATTTGGAACGATCCTTACAGTGTTAAGAGTGTCAGGCACAAAACTTCACTTCTCTTCACACCACTGGTTCTCCTTGCGTACCTGCATTGAGATAAAACTCTAATTAGATGTAGTGCTATACACATGCTATGAACATTTAAAAACTAGTTACATAGAAACATCCCCAGTGGCATCTTGGATTACATTCCTTTCCTGTAAAAACAGACACACCTTGAAAGAAATGCTGGATTTTCACTTAGATCAGGGACAGGTAAAATATGGTCCATGGGCCAAATCTAACCCACCAAGCATTTGGATAGAACCCATGACCCACCAGGACCCTCTGGCAGGCTCCCTGACTCTGCAACCTCAGGCCGCTCAAAGCAGCCCAGCTGCTAGGATCATATACCTCTGTGCACTGTGTACCCCGTGGGGGGAGGGGGAAGGGAAGGATCAACTTTGCTCATTGCCCCCACCCCCAACAGTCCTTGCAGCGCCCATTGGCTGGTTAGAGGGACATGGCCCCAACAGTCAGACTACTTTGCTAAAGCAGGGTCCCACTGGAGACCAGCTAGAAGTCACCTTGATATGCACCTCCCAACCTTAGCCTGCATTTGGTGGCACCACAACCAAACTCTGCCTCCAGTCATAATCCCCTGCCAGACTCTGCCCCCTCCTACAACACTCCCCCAAGCAAGAATCCTCTCTTGCAGCCATACCTCCCTCCCCACCCTGCATCAGGTTATAACCCCCCCCTTTCAACCAAACTCCCTCTCAGAGCCTCCCATTCTGCACCCAATCTGTCCCAGACTACACACCCCTCCCCAAAGAAAGGTACAGTCCTTGACCACATATCAAATGCTGGAAAATAATGTTAGATGTGGGCCATTCCATCTCTCTACTTAGACGGTTGAAACTAGTTTTTGTAAAATATTTACCAGTGCAGATTGAGAAGTTACTGAAGATAACACATGTATCTTTCAACCACTTCCTAATATAACCCACAGGTTCTACTCATGAATAGCTAATTACTTGCTCATCTTTCTATACATGATTCAGGAAGAGCTGAAATGCTATAATTTGTTCAATGATGTTTGAAACTTTTAGAATACAAGCAGTCCCCGGGTTATGTACAAGATAGGGACTGTAGGTTTGTTCTTAAGCTGAATTTGTATGTAAGTCGGAACTGGCTTCCAGATTCAGCCGCTGCTGAAACTGACCAGCGGCTGACTACAGGAAGCCGGAGGCAGAGTTGCTCTGCCCTGCTGAAATGCTATAATTTGTTCAATGATGTTTGAAACTTTTAGAATACAAGCAGTCCCCGGGTTATGTACAAGATAGGGACTGTAGGTTTGTTCTTAAGCTGAATTTGTATGTAAGTCGGAACTGGCTTCCAGATTCAGCCGCTGCTGAAACTGACCAGCGGCTGACTACAGGAAGCCGGAGGCAGAGTTGCTCTGCCCTG